TGGAGTCCAAGAAGAAAAAAAAACGTCTCACCCAAATGTTATAATGCAAATTAATAGTGGAAAAAGCCATTAGGCATTATATTATTTACTAAAAGACTCTTGCCAATCAAAAATTCAAGAATGCACAGCGCATATATGTGAAGCATTAGACTGTACTTCTTAGACATGTTCTATTGGTTTGATTAAAAATTCAGTCTAGCTTCTGTGCTGTTTCTTAATTTTGTGAATTACTAGCTAATGACATCCATGAATCATGCAGTTTTAAGATACCAACACCTTAAAGAAATAGTAAACCTAAAATTGAAAATGTGCTTCAAATTCACTCACCCTCATGCCATCCATGATATAGATCAATTTATTTCTTAAGAACAGCTTTGGAAAAAAATCAGCATTACATCACTTGCTCACCAGTGGATCCTCTGCAGTGAAAGGGTGCCGTCAGAAAGAGTATCCAAACAGCTGACAAAAACATCACAATAATCCACACAACTCCATTATAATAGTTATAATATAATAACACTTCCGTGAAAAAGTCCTCTCACATCAAAATCCAAGTTAAAAATGTCTTCATAGATTTGTTTATTTCAAGCAGGAAGCTTTTCTCTTCACAAGACATTACTTGATGGACTGGAGTCATGTTGTGGATTATTGTGATGTGATTTATCAGCTGTTTGAACTCTCATTCTCACGGCACCCATTCACTAGAGAGGATCCGTTGGTGAGCAACTGATGTAATGATAAATTTCTCCTGAACTGTTCTGCTGAAGAACAAAACTCATCTACCTCTTAAATGGCCTGAGGGTGTTTTTTTTTTTTTGCTTTTGCGTGAAAAACTGCACTACAAATAAAATGCAAAATAAATGCAAATGCAAAAGAAAGCTGTTCACACCGAGTTGAGATGTGTCGTTAACCACAACTATGAGTGTAAGCATGCAGCATGCACAGACACCTGGGTTTCAATTCCTTTGTTCTTCCAAGAAAACACTGTGTAGCCCAATCACAACAGCTGAGTGCGTGGTGGCACTACGCTCAAAATAACAAAGATGAGCACAACCCAGGGAGTCACAGGCCTACTACAGACAGTCTACAACACTGATATTCAAATTGAGTTCATATGCAAACACGGGCACACATGTGCATGTACCTCTCTGCTGGAATAACCTCCAAAATAAAGACATCTGAAGAGTGACAACAGTGATTTAAAAAAAACAGGCAGGCCATTTTTGCCATGAAAAAAAATCAAATAAAAAAAGGTTGACTCTCACAATTGTGAAATTCTTTATATTTCACAATTATTGCTTTTCTTCTTAGAACTGAGTTTATATCTTGCAATTCTTCTTAGCTTATGTCTCTGTGAGTTTTTTGCTGAATTGAATTGTGGCATAAAACGTCTCAATTACCCCTTTTTGTACCATGGCTCCCATACTAATTAAATAATAATTAAAGTAAGCACCTTTTTCATATCTTATTTTGTTAGAAAGCAAACATCACTTGTTGGAGCATTATAACACACATTTATATTTTATCTGTGCCACTAAAAGCTTTGGGAGCTACTGAATATCTGCATATGCATATTTAGATATAATGACTAGAAAATCATCATGTGTACTAAACTGAAGGGCGCAAAAAGAAAAATGTTAGTTATTGAACTACGTCCTGCCAGCACACATCAAAATCTTCACCAGGTAATAATAATAATAATAACAACAACAACAACAATAAATAGCTCTGTGTGGTCACTGCTTCCACATGGGATCAACAAATCTAGTTCTTCATTTCTTACTTTAAAACACAAGACTGATTTGCATGAGATTCATTCTTTGAAGCCAGAGCACAATAACTTCATCTACCTTACACTAATGTGTCAAACACGAAGAGGAAATGAAATGCTCTCTTACTGGAGCTCGCTCCATCCGTGGAAACTACAGCCGGCGTAGCCATTTTCTGGCGGAAGTTTCATATGGTCCTGCTTGTTTTCACTTGTGGTTTATGCCCCACAGCCCTGGAAGATGAGCATGTTCAAATAAAGTCTGTTATAAGAAACTAACTGATGGAAGATTACAAAAGTTACTTAACTTAGTGTGGTAATATTCTATCCTGACATGTAACGTTACTGGAGGAGCGTGGTATTAGTTCCACACTAACGTTACCTGTCGTACTATTACTTTCTCATTTAAAACAATCGCTAAACATAAAAAATGTTTGCTTACTTGCTTGTTTGTATGCTAATGGTTTAATGGCTAGAAACCCACAATAACAACAGGTAAAAGCGCTTAACTTACCTCAACTTATTCACTTCGTTTCTTACTCGAGGATAAACAACAGGGCCGTTAAACTTTGTTTACGTTCAGAACTGCTCGATGCTTCGTGCGAATCTTTGAGGTACTCGAAATTCTTGTTTTTATTACTTTACCGGGTCCATCCGAAGTAAATAACCCGCTGAAACGCACGGAAGCGTCCTCGTTCCTCGAGCCTCCCAAACAAGCGGAAGTGACGTTGCTGCGCCGCACTCTCCTGCTGGGCGCGGTGGCCGTTGAATTTGGACAATCTGGCTTTCTACCTCTACACTACAGGGGGCGCTCGACTGATACAGACTAGTTCAAATGGGCATTTAACCCTTAAGCAGGCAACGTGCACCATAGGATACATATTCTTTAGTCTCTTGTAGGAGGCGCGAGGAAGAATTTTTCATCCAATACTGTTATCATTACCATAGTTGAGGTTATTCGGAGTATGGTGGTCACATGACTTGGTTCAAATTTTCTGTGCTCCTTTTGTCAGTTTGACCTAAAGCTAACAGGTGTGCTCAACTTGAAGCGGCGCTGTGCACACCGATCGAAGTATGTCAGACTCATTAAAGTATCGCGAGAGCGATTCGAAAGCATAAAAAGCGGTCTGCTCTCTTATCGCTCTCGCGGTTCTTTGATGATACACCGATCGGTCTGCCCAGCGCTGAATTAAAGGGATAGTTCACCCAAAAATGAGATTTATGTCATTAATTACTCACCCTCATGTCGTTCCAAACCTGTAAGACCTTCGTTCATCTTCGGAACACAAATTAATATATTTTTGCTGCATTCCGACAGCTCTCTGACCCTCCCATAGACAGCAAGGATCCTAACATGATCAAGGCTAAGAAACGTAGGAAGGAGAGCGCTAAAATTATCCATGTGACATCAGTGGTTCAACCGTAATTTTAGAAGCTACGAGAATACTTTTTGTGCGCAAAGAAAATATAAATAACTAATTTATTCAACAATTCGTTTCCTCCGCGTCACCTTATAACGCCATTTTAGAGAGTATCACATGCATAAACAACATATGCTGTTCCGTGTCAGCAGCACCGTATGTGTTTACGTTGTTTATGCTTTGATTTGAACGTATTTGAACAACATCATTTTTATGTAATCCTGAATCATGATCAAGGCTCAGAAATGTAGCAAGGAGATCGTTAAAAAATCCATGTGACATCAGTGGTTTAACAGTAGTTTTAAGAAGCTACAAGAATACTTTTTGTGTGCAAAGAAAACAAAAAGTTAGCGACTTTATTCAACAATTCATCTCCTCCGTATGTACGCGGATACGTTGTTTACATTCAAATCAAAGCATAAACAATGTAAACGCGTACGGTGCTGCTGACACAGAACAGCATACGTTGTTTACGCATGTGATACTCTCTAAAATGGCGTTATAAGGAGGAGACGAATTGTTGAATAAAGTCTTTAACTTTTTGTTTTCTTTGCGCACAAAAAGTATTCTCGTAGCTTCTTAAAACTACGGTTGAACCACTGATGTCACATGGATTTTTTTAACGATCTCCTTGCTACGTTTCTGAGCCTTGATCGAGATTTAGGATTACATAAAAATTATATGTTGTTGCATAAATTACATTATATGATTGTTTAAGGATGGAGCTCAACAGTGCAAGACAGTGGAGCTCAAGGGGTGGAATTCCCCACCCCTGAGGATGAAAACGAGACAGTTCAGAAATGTAAAAATACAAGAAATGTCTGTGCCTCAATTTTAGGACACAGACATGTCACACATGCAGCATATTTTGAATATTACATATTTGTTTGCAACAAATAAATCACAGAATTATTGATGGCTGTTTTTATATCCTCATAGGGCAACGTATCCTGGGAGATACAACTCATAAAATCCAAAATATATCAAATATTTCAAAAATTCCTTTGAAAATGTTTTATTTAATCCAGATGATATAATAATAAGTGACATGAAATAATTTTTTTTGCTGATCATTTTCCATTCTTGCCAGTTTTGGGTTAAATCACTGTTCTTTGGGCTCAATGAACATGTTTGTTCATTCATAAACTTAAACCTTATGAGATAAAATAAAACGATAAATTATGAGGGACCTGAAATGCACGGCCTCTTTTTTTGATTAAGTACAGTGACAGCAGCTATGATAAAAGACACTAATCATCTATACATGTACACTAATCAATAAATAATGATATCTATTACTAATTATGCACAAACCGCACAAATATTGAAAAACAAATATTAGCCAATCGGATTTTAGACCCAGAACTATAACTGATCTTTGGTATTCTATTGAACGAGGAATCATTTAAATGTGTCTTATTTGAGCTGCCAATGATTGTAAATAAACCTAAACAATACCATATCCAACATAAAGCAAACTTATATAACTACCTAGCTGAAAATACACAGGAGATACACAGCAGTATTAAACGATACTTTATGGAAGGGATATCTAAGGACAACAATTACTTTCTGGTAAAGGAACATTACTATATTACCATGATCACGCCAGTATCTGTATAACCCTACAATTATTGTTGTATGTCACTGATTTATGTGTCAAGATGCTGAAACTCTTTTCTAACCTTAACAAAAAAACATATTTACTTTTGAAGGCAGTAACAGAACCTGATTCCCATGATTGTTTCACTACATCCCCAATAAATAAATAAATAACCCTACGAATCAGACAGAAGGGCAGCTGTATTTATGATCTGTGATTTATTTGTGATATTTTCCCACAAATACATCTGCCATGCAAACAACGTGACATGAAATATCACAACTTAGTAGTAACCTTTATTTTCTCTAAGGAAAAATCAAATGTCAAACAATCCTTTGAATCCTTTTGCCACTTTGAAAATAAACTGACTTAGTTTTGAACTTCAACTGTGATGAGTATTATAAAATAATACATGTGAAAATAAAAGTACTGATACACAGCTCTTCTAGAAGAATGAGCATGATTAAATGACATGAAAAGCATGATATATTCTGACTCTTGTGATTCACAGTTGATTAATTGACACAGTTTGCGTGCTGCTAAATGAAATAAAAACATATGGCAGTGAGACCTTTAACAGGTGTTGGGGTCCCAGTTGAAAACAATGTCAGGTGGTATTATGGGAGCAATGTACCCACACAGGGGTTGGTAGGAAGGGTTAGGAGCCCGTCTTTCAAAGCAGTTCCACCGTTCTTCTCCTTTCTTCTCACAGCACTCGTGGACCAAAGTCATAGTGGAATATTCCTCAATACAGAAATAGGACAAGGCAGTTTCCCACTGCAAAAGCGAAGAAAAAAGACATTATATTTCTGCTTATCAGTGCTGTAGTAAAATGACTTCTGTTTGGATCATGTTTCTCATTCTATGTACTCACCGCCTGTTTCGTACAGCAAAGGATCTGTCCATTTCCAACAGCCAAACCTCCATAGCAGCACTGACCCAACCACGCCTCTAGTCTGTTTACTGCATTTCCAGCACGATGAGCGTAAGCATAACTGGATGAAGGGAAACAGACGGCAGGATATCTGAGACGACCATTTCCATAAAGACAGACGGCATTGAGATTGTTAACCGAAGGTCTGGCTGGAGGGAAGGATGATTCCATCAGTTTGGTAGGATCAACGATCTGTCCCCCTTAATGGAATAAAGAAAAGATATAAATACATGTTATTAAAAAGTCACTTTTTTTTTGGAAAGGTCCTTTTTAAATGCATTACTACAGGAAGTTTCAGAGAATGCAGTATCAATATATCTTTTTATGCCTTTTATTAGGACAGGACGGTAGAGAGATGACAGAGAAGCATTGGGTGGAGAGAGGGGCCGGCATCAACATATCCAAATGCAATGTAAAGGTACCACAATGGACATTGTTAGAGAAATATATCTATGTATGTTTACATTTATTCTTTCAGAAGATGCTCCAAAATTAGATGACAGTTTAAAAAGTTTTGTAAAATAAAAGCACATACCTGCCAATGAAATGAGATGAAGTATCAAAGTAGTTACAAGTGTGCTTTTCCAAACCATGACTGGGTTTTTTTTCTTTCTTTTCTTTTTTTTTAAGTTAAAGAAAAGGTCCTCCTTTCTCTTTGCAAATTTGCACTCTTTTCTTCAGTCTTGATGGGAACTTTAAAATACTGCAAGGCTGTGTCTGGATTTAAAGGGTTGGAAGAGGAACGAAAGGCGGGTCAAAGCTGGTGGGTCAAGCAGAGCTTGAAGAAAGGAGATAAGGGCCTAACGTTATCTGCCTTTATTTTATATAAACTCCCGCATGATACTAATTCAAACGTCAAAACAGTGGATAGTCAAAACAGGAATGTTCTTCAACCCTATTCTAAAACATTGAGCTTATTCACACATTTTTATCTAATTGAAATGGCTTGCTCAAGTGAATGAGAGAAATACTCCCATGGCTTCTTGCAAACCAATCAGTTCTGCTGCATCATGTTTGAGGGAACTGCAATTAGAAAAACATAAAATATCTTGATGTATCCCACTGCTGGCAGCTAAACAAAGCAAGACAAATAGCAATTTCAGCATGGAGTAGTGAGAAATAATTTGAAGTGTATGGGATCAAAACTCCCTCAAGGGCAGACTTATCAGCTGCTTACAGGTTTGTGAAATTTGGTTATTTAATTGTGAACAAATGAACTACTGCTATGAACGAAATTGCAAAATAAACCAATTATTTAGTTGCTTTATTCATTTTTTGTTAGGTTTCAGATATTTGGCTATATTTGTTATGGGGGACTAAATTTGCTTTAACAATTTATACCTGCTACTGTATATTGAAGCAATGTTAGTTATTATAAATTGTTACATCCAAATTATGTTAATTAAAGCTAATCATGAGCTGTTGGGAACAGTGTCGCTATCTTGTCACATTTTACAAGAAAAGATAATTGTCTGTTTTGCTTACATACACCTTTCACTTTTTAAGACTAAAACAAAAGATGGATTCATTGTTATTCTTGATTAAAAAGCACAACAACAATGACAAACTAGCTTACAAAACATTTATTAACAAAAACTAATAAGATGAGGCATACACTACATGCTGTATTATATACCGACTAATAAATTACAGAACGTTTAGCAAACCACTGAGGAATCAAATAAAAAAATTAAATAAAAGAGAGCCTCCATAGCGTAACGTGAGGTAAACAGCAAAGGTAACAAGCTTTTTAAAACGAAAACAATAAGAAAAGTAAAACTAAACTTGCTGTCGGTGATGGGGCTTGCATGTTTTTCCCCACATGAATATCAACATGTTCACCCTCTCTGGTTTAAGAAGCGGCCTTTTACTTTACTTTAGCTTGAAAACCATCCATCGTTTCCTCAATATTCGCATCGTTTTTGCTGCGCGCACCTTCGCACTCGTGCTGACGTGGCAAGTATAAACCAGGCTCTACACTCAAGGTGCTGCGCAGTTCAATTGAGTAGCGCGGTTTCGTTATGGTTTCAGTTACGTTTGTCATTTGATTTTTCTCATATGCAACAGAAATAGCAGCGCATATGAATTGAACAACGCGGTAGTCGCGACAGTGCGACCGCTCACAAAATTTAGTCGCACAGGCAGAAAAAATGGTCACAAAATGCTACCATTTGGTCGCAGTCTGGAGCCCTGAGTATGCTGGCTGCCTGGATGTCCAGAGTCAGGGGAAGCGTGAAGTGAGCCCAGAAGGGTTGGCCGCAAGGAGGATGGTAAATAAGTTTTCCCTTCTGGGCCTCCCAGCGGAGCAGGCTCAGCAAGGGTGGCGACACGGATCTGTTCTTCCAGAGCCCATTGGATGGGGCTAATGATGACAGCTGGGACACCTCCACTATGAACGGTAGCTGGGGTTTCGGGTGAGTGAGGATGGGAGCAGTGCAGAAGGCCTTCTTGAGCTTTTTGAAGGCAGCCAGAGCTTCGGGGTTCCAGGACAGAGACTTGGGCTGACGACGGAGCATGGAAGTGAGGGAAGCGGAGAGGAGGTTGAAGTTCTGGATGAACCTGCGGTAGAAGTTGGAGAATCCGAGGACTCTTTGGAGTTCCTTGATCGACTGCGGTTGGGGCCAGTCACGGATGGCCTGGACTTCCCCTGGTCCATTTGAATACCATCTGCACTGAGGATGTAACCGAGGAACTGGACCGTGGAGCGGTGGAACTCACACTTCTCGAGCTTCAGGTAGAGGTGGTGTTTCCTGAGCTGCTGAAGGACCTGCGTGACGTGGTGGCGATGTTCGGCCAGGTTCCGGGAGTATATCAGGATGTCGATGTACAGTACACTATGACAAACTGGTGGAGAAACTCCCGGAACACCTCGTTTATGTACCCCTGGAAGATGGACAGTGAGTTAGCTAGGCCGTCCGGCATCACCATGATATTCATAGTGGCCTGAGGAGGTTATGAACGCCTTCTTCCACTCGTCAACCTCCCGGATTCAAACGAGGTTATATGCACTCCGCAGGTCCAGCTTCGAGAAGATGCGAGCCCCACGGAGTTCCTCGAGGGTAGCCGGGACCAGGGAAAGTGGATAGGGGAGCTTGACGGGGTGTGCATTGAGGGTCCGGTAATCGATGCAGGGCCACAAGCCTCCGTCCTTCTTGCCCATGAAGAAGAAGCTTGAGGCGGCCGGTGAGGTGAAAGGGCAAATGAACCGTTGCTGGAGAGCGTGGTGTTTCCTGAGCTGCTGAAGGACCTGCGTGACGTGGTGGCGATGTTCGGCCAGGTTCCGGGAGTATATCAGGATGTCGATGTACAGTACACTATGACAAACTGGTGGAGAAACTCCCGGAACACCTCGTTTATGTACCCCTGGAAGATGGACAGTGAGTTAGCTAGGCCGTCCGGCATCACCATGATATTCATAGTGGCCTGAGGAGGTTATGAACGCCTTCTTCCACTCGTCAACCTCCCGGATTCAAACGAGGTTATATGCACTCCGCAGGTCCAGCTTCGAGAAGATGCGAGCCCCACGGAGTTCCTCGAGGGTAGCCGGGACCAGGGAAAGTGGATAGGGGAGCTTGACAGGGTGTGCATTGAGGGTCCGGTAATCGATGCAGGGCCACAAGCCTCCGTCCTTCTTGCCCATGAAGAAGAAGCTTGAGGCGGCCGGTGAGGTGAAAGGGCAAATGAACCGTTGCTGGAGAGTCTCCTTGATGTAATCCTCCATTGCCTTGCGCTCCGGGATGGACAGTGGGTAGATTTGACCCTTGGGGAGTGTGGCTTGTGTTTGCTGAAGACATCCTGGAATGCTGCGTAGTCATACGGGATTGCTGGGCTCTCCCGAGGTTCGGGGCTCTCCACGAGGGTGGAGTTAACCTGGAGACAGGTTTTTCGCAGGGGGCGATGGAACATTGCAGAGACAATTCTGGAAACAGGCCTCACTCCATCTGAGAATCTTGCTGGAATCCCATCTGAATTCGGGAGTGTTGTGAGAGCCATGGGCGTCCCAGGATGATGTCCACGGTGGGTCCCTCCAGTACCAGAAAGGAAATCATCTCATGATGGAAACATCCCACTTGCAGGGAGACAGGAGGAGATTGGTAATTGACGTGCACACACCCAAGCGGTTTCCCTTTATTGCTTCAATTCTGAGCTCCTGAGTCTGAGTCAACAAGGGCAGACACTGAAATGGAATGATGAGGGGTGAGTAGTTGTACTGTCAGCAGTGGTACGGTAGAGATATCAGGCTCTATGTGGAGAGTACTCACTGCTGGGCATGGGGGACGAGAAGGGCACGTCTTAAATGAAGTGACCTGAGGCGCCACAGTAAAGGCACAGCCCCGTGGCCAAATGTCGCTCCGCGCATGTGAGACGGTTGGCGTCTGATTGCATTGGTTTTGGTACTGGAAAACAGAGGGTGAGGCTGGCGAATGAGCGGTTTCGTTGGGCTCACAGGCGGTGAGGCACTGAGAAATCCTTATGGCCTATTGCATGAAGTTCTCCAAGCCTACAGTGTCGTCATAGATGGCCATTTGGGCCCGGATCTGGGCTCTAAACCTTGTTGTTAGGCCATCAGCAGCGCCATCTTGTTCCATCTGCTAGAGGCCGCCAGGGTGCGGAACTGCAGGGTATAATCGCTCGCCGAGAAAGTACCCTGGCGGAAGTGAATAAGCTGGTCAGCGATGGACAGACAGCCGGTGGACTGGCCGAAGACCTCCTTAAAGTGGGTTGTGAAGGCATCAAAAGGGTAAATTAATCCGCTCTGAGAGTTCCAGATGGCTCGTGCCTAGAGCAACGCCCGTCCAGACAGAAGGGAGATAAGGAAGGCCACCTTTTAAACCTTGTTGTTAGGCCATCAGCAGCGCCATCTTGTTCCATCTGCTAGAGGCCGCCAGGGTGCGGAACTGCAGGGTATAATCGCTCGCCGAGAAAGTACCCTGGCGGAAGTGAATAAGCTGGTCAGCGATGGACAGACAGCCGGTGGACTGGCCGAAGACCTCCTTAAAGTGGGTTGTGAAGGCATGAAAAGGGTAAATTAATCCGCTCTGAGAGTTCCAGATGGCTCGTGCCTAGAGCAACGCCCGTCCAGACAGAAGGGAGATAAGGAAGGCCACCTTCGACCACTCTGAGACTAACTTTTGGGGCTGCATCTCAATGAAAACAGAGAGTTGAAGCAAAAAAAAACGCTTGTTGATATATATATAAATACCGATATATATAAAGACACACACATACAGTATATATTTTGAAAATATTTACATGTACTTACATGTATATATTTATATTCATATCATTTATATTGTATATAAATATATGTAATATAATAACGTTTTTTTCTTATGCATGCGTGTGTGTGTGTGTGTGTGTTTATATATACATAATAAATATACACAGTACACACACATATATTATGTACACAAAAACTTTTGTTTTGGTTGTGATTAATCGCTATTAATCGTTGCCCAGCACTACTTTTTTCATGGTTTTGTTGATTATTGTCTGATGTATAGAAGGCTACATCTTATAGATGTACACATAATATATCAGATATCACTTTATCAGCATAATTATCAATATTATCAAGGTTTTTCAACAAGTTAATTGCAACAATAATTACACCACACAACAAACTGTATGTTCAAGTGTGTGAACAAAGTGTTGAGTTACTTTGAAGATAATATGTGGTTGACCTAGTGAGCGCTGGATCAAAAACATTGTTAAGATACACTCACCACCACAGAAATGAATCATATCAGCTGTAAG